TTGATTGTTGGATATAACATTGTAATGTAAGGATTTGTTTCAAGGTGGAGATTGTTGACTATAACATGTGATCCTTACTCAATTAATTTGCATTTCTATTTTTAATAAGTTAGTTTGTTAGGTCTCTATATATAAGAGACACCTTGTACAAGTAGATTAGACTAGCAAATAGTAATGAGTATTTAATTTGGTGATCATTTAGTTTAATTCTCACATACTCTAAAATCAATATAAAGTTCATCTCCTTCATCTACCTCCTTCCTAGATTTGTGTGGTTTGTTTTGTCTCAATTTTGCACAACAAAGAAATTTCATTATAAACAATCCTCTTTATTTTCTTAAAACATTTTTTTTTACAAAAACTCCTTTTATTTTCACAATCCAAATATTAGCCAAATCATTTAATTTATTGAAAATCATATATATTCTTTAATTAGAAATTTTGAACTGTTACATTTGGACGCCCCATTCTCGTGGTTGGAGTTTCTCGTAATTGAACTAAAGTATTTTGACCATCACACTATTTGTAGGAAAAGCAAAGGAAGCACTTAAAATAAAATTATATTGAATGTACTTTTATTATATATTAATCGATATAAATTTAGTGTTTTATAGCAACTAAACTTTAATCAATCTAAGAAAAATTTACTTAATTTTAAAATTACTATCGCATTTTTTTTTTCTTCATTAATTGGTTAAATTTAAACTAATTAATTTAAGAAAACATGTAAAACCCCATCAATGGGTATATACAACGAATGTCCAAGGGTATCAACACAATATAGAGGCACCGAATAATTTCTTAATTAATCTAATTCGGACATTCTTATACACGTGGAGACAAGATCATGAATCTTGTATCTGCTTCCACAAAGAGCTGCTCTCGTGAGTCACATTAAGAAGTACATTATGTAGCAAGTACCAAATCCAAACGTCATTCACATTTTCAGTCTTTTTTTGCATAAGGCATTTTTCTGTTCGCTACCTTTAAGCTGTTGACAACTACAATGAAAGTTTTGAGGATCATGACAAAGAGTTCTGTTGATCATGGATGAAATTGTGGCCTCAACGATGATGTTAATGGGGCATAGCAATCTAATTAGAAATCAATATAATATTAATGTGGTGGAAAAATGACTTGGTAACATTTAACATTGTGAAAATTCAATAATGATTTAGGAAACTTATGATTGTGGAATGAATATATGGATACAAGCGTACGAAAATGTAGTGGATCAAAATAGCGATAATGTTAATGGTGATGACTTTGAGGGTCGTAAATACAATGATATCAATAAAGAAGAGCCAATAATTAGTTGCTACTAGTAATAGACGTAGTGGTGTCATTTTCTACCTAGCAATTTTTTCTGTCTTTTCCTTGACCTTGAGTCGTTTAATAATTTATTTTCTTGTTTTGCTTTTCCTTTGATGTTTAAACATATACATATATATACAGGGACGGAGCCAGGATTTCAATACTGGGGGGCCGAGAATTGGAATGATCAAATGAGGCGCTACATTTTTTTAAAAAAAAAAAAATTCCAAAGTGATACCACATAGCAGGCCGTACCAGAAGTCCAAAAGTTGAATAAAAAAATAAATTTGGGTTATTCATTTAATTATACATATGAGTTTATATTAAAAATAGGGAGTGCCATATAGTAATATATATGTATATAAAAAAAAATTAAAATTGTTGGGGGGGCCGTGGCACCCGTAGGTCCCCCCTTGGCTCCGTCCTTGTATATATATATATATATATATATATATCCAATGCTGCATGCATCTGATTCTTTCAATCCAGAACAGATCATCTGGATAATTACGAATATTCATCCATGAATTTGTATCCAAAACGAATACCATAAAAAACCATTGATCGGAAAATACTCTACGAGAGTTCTTATCTATAACAATATGTAAAGGTGATATAATATTTTAAGTATACATATTTTTTATAATGTTTTTATTCACTTTTCTATTATAAATTCCTCACTATTTTGTAAGTTTTATTATTTGTATTTCTTATTTTTCTTTTGGTGAAAATGGAGGCAACCAAAAAGAATTGTAGGAGGAAGTAAGATTTTTATTTGGTAAAGAGATGGAAGTGAGATTGATTCAAGTAACTTATTTTTTATTTTAAAAAATACATGAAAGTACGGCATGTCTATTTTATATACTATAAAAGAAAAATGTGTTAAATTTAAGAGAATAAGGAAAATAAATAAATAATCCAATCTTTAATATTAATGATGAGAAAATTAATTAATGATATTTCAGTTTATTCAAAATTTATTTATGTAATATCAACTTTGGTTTTTTTTATTAACAATTGATTTTTTTTTAATTGAGTTGCTTACTTTAGAATAGTCGCATTCACAAATCTGTATAGGAATTTATGTGACGCTTTTATTGCTTAACAAATAAGAAAGAAAAAAAAATTGAAAATCAAGAATTGGACAAAATGCAGCACCATAATTTGCATGTAAGGGGTGAAAATAACATTGTGCCCTTAGAAAAAATCTCCCTTAATAATAAATATAATTTTTTTCTATCCACTTGTAAAAGGAATGAGTAAACATATGATAGTATCTATATCTACATGTACTTGATTTGTAATTGTACCTGTAAGAGGGTACTCCGGTAATTTTGCTACTCCTGCTGGGTCTTTGTCTTCCATGAGGTATCCTAGGGGAAGAGAGGGGTACTTGCAAAAGGTACTCCAATGCTTAAGTCAGTCCTCGGTCTCAGAGATATCAGTGCTAATCAATATTGGTAATTATGAAAGCGTACCTCTCTTTGTCACTAATCACACTTATTTATACTAACCTTAATGGGCTCAGGCCCATATGTAGGCCCATAAAAGGAGTCCATTAATGATACGAGAAGCCTTCAGTGATCGCGAGGAGTTGTAGATTCTTCTCCTTAATATTCATACTATTATCTGGTATACATGCCCCCAGGATTTCAAGGCTTTTTGATAAATATTAAAAAATGTAGAAATCCTAAAAAGAAACGTTTGCGAATCTTTTCTGCTGCTGCTTTTTCTGATATTGCCGTCTTTCAATTAATGTGAGACTGCTGCTTTCTCTGATATTGTCGTCTTTCAATTAATGTGTGTGCTCTGCAAAGTATGACAGTTAAGAGGGGAGGGGTTTCTGCCACTGCAATATTCCTTGATATTAAAGTATACAAATAATACTTATAATTATAGTAACAAATGTCATACTCATCCATCTAAAATCGTTAATCATGAAACAACACACTTTCGTATGGCTATCAGAATAATCTAGTGAGTTTTTTTTTTTTTTTTTTTTTTTTTTTTTTTTTTTT